TTGCCTCTATATGACACCTTGCCATCTCAGTTTTCTTGTTTCGACCACTATAGGTGGCCATTGGCTTCTTCAACTAGACTGATGTTCTTCTACTCTGGTTCTGCTGAGAAATGGATGTGATCTTCATAATAAAGAGATATTATCATAAAAAGTAAGAGAGAGAGAGAGCAGGAAGCTGAACGAGGAGTGTAAAGAAATAGCGGTGACTGGTGGCGGGATGTAGATGCAGTGATGAATGAGATTTTGGATCAGTGAATAAAAGATTTTGTACTCACAGCTCTACGGCATGTTATTCACACTCATCGACATTACCATCCAATGTCCATAGTGCTCTCTTTTGTATGAATCACATTGTCAATTTTCTCTGGGTTTTAATTTTCTTTGGTTTGTCAAAACATAGAGAAAAGTGTGAGCAAATCAAAGAAATTTCAACCAGAGATATAACGATCCCGGTTGTGATCCGTCATTTGTTGTATTTCGGATTCGGGTTTAATGTTTCCGTATTGTTGTTTACCTCTTCTCCCTTATATCTCTTGAAATTGGTTTTTGGGTTATTGTGATTGAGTTTGGAACAGGTTGGTTGCATGTTTTTCCAAACTTCGTTACCCAGAATTTTGATCCTCCACTAGAGCTGGCCTTCTTGCGCTCGAGCGGGAGTTGCAAACTCTCAGTGCTTAGCGCGTCTGCAAAAGTACTGGAGGGGTTTTTTTCACGCTCGAGCAGGTGGACGCTCGAGTGGCCATCTCTACACCCTTGTGCCTTCATTAAAAAGTCAGAGCATCTCAAGATTTATCTTTTGAACCGAATAAAGTGGGATTTTGACATCTTTGGGGTTTCTCTCTTGCTTTGCTCATCTTCTCTTCTTGAGGTAGGGACAGTCTATACCTTAATATGGGTTTTAACCTAGGTATTTGTTGTTTTGTATAAATAGTGGGATTTGGGAGAATTTGAGTAAAGTTAGGGTTTGAAATTCAAAATTTGAAGGAGGGGTCCTCCATGTTGTTTTTACAAAATGACTATTGGGCTTGTATATGAGGTTCTCTAGTGTTGGAATGGTGAAATTTAGCCTTTGGGTTGATATTTGAAAAAGAAAGAAATTTGCCCTAATTTGAGTTGGATAACGAAATTGTATAAATAATGAAATTGATATGGGACATGTGAATTGGAAGGATATATGAATGAATGGTGCAGTTAGATTTGTTAAATCGTTTATCTATGGAAATTTGATAAATTATCTGTTTAAAAGATTGTGTATCTGTTTAGAACTATCTGTATTGGGCTATCGGTGGAGGATAGTCATGATTGTTGTAGAAATAGCATGAGGATTTGGTGGATTGAAACTAATCATTTAAGTTGTGTCATTGAATATAACGGTATGATTAAGATATTGAATATGTGATATGGATAGTCATTGAATATGGCGATGCTTTTAAATATATTGTATATGTATAATGTTTTGAGAGAAGAAATGGGATGTACTCCAGTGTTTAGGAGGAGATAGGGGATGGACTCCATTGAGAATTAAGTTGGCTGGAGTGTCTAGGGTGAAAGTCCCGAAATCTTATGTATACATGGGTGTCGATCCCGCGGACGAAATTTCCGTAAAATGACAAGGTTGAAGTGCTTGTATGATAGTTATGTTAGTTGAAAATCCCTGAGTTGTGGTCTCAGTTGAGTTATTTGAAAAATTATATATACATATTTCTCTTAAGACTTGAAATAAATAAATGGAAATGGATTGAGATGTAAATATCAGTATTGTATGGTCATGGGAAGAATGTGAGTTGGTCATGTCAATTAAACGTTTATATGACACTTATATCTTAGTTAAACCTCATATACTGTGTTAATTTATCTCTACTAGGCTTTGGCTCACCCTACTTGAGAAAACATTTTCAGGTACTGGTGATATGCCACCTCCAATGACATAGCTTGGGAGGAGTGAGAGCTGAAGGCTCCATTTTTGTTATATTTGTGCTTAAATGTTAATTCAAGCCAAGGGCTTTACATGTATAGAGCTTACGACTCTTTTGTTGTAACTAAGTGATATCTTGAAAAGATGTAAGCCCGTAGGACGTTTATTTTGTTGTAATCAATTAGTGTTACATGCTGTAGTTTCAGAATGAACATTTATGAAAGTATAACACATGTAACATTTCTTGTAATATAAACTCTGATGAATGAAAGTATAACATCTTCTGTTATGTTCATGTATCTCATGGGTTAGATTATTCACTTTATTTTGAGGGCATTACAAGAGAAATTTCAAAATACAAAGAAAATCATAAAAAATGAGCAAACCAGAGAAATTTCAAACTAGAAAATTTTCAATTTCTTTGTATTTTAAAATTTCTTTAAATCAAAATTTCTCTGGAAAAATGTTGAGGGACCCCAACCACTATGAAAATATTGTATATCCTTCATCCTATAAAATCTTAATACTAAGGACCTTAAAAAAAATTCTTCTTTTAATTAATATTTGTATAATTTGAATATTATTTTCTTTTATTTTTATTACTACTGATCGATAATTTTCCCTTTTATTTAAATAATTTTAAACAATTTTTTTTTGTTCATATTAACTTTAGGTATATATTTCATTTTAATTGTGTAATTTTTAATATCTAATTTTTATATATTTAATGCTAATCTTATTTTAAAGATATTGTCGATCTTTTTAATGGTGTTATTTTTAGGAAAAATTACTCATAAACCTCATTTGGAGAAAAATTATTCCATTTGGTCTTAGAAATTTTCTTTCAAACCAATTAGTTTTTTTTATTTTGGGTATGTTATATTTCCTTAATTTGGGGATTTGAAAGTTTACTTGTTTGCCCTTGTGTGTGATTTTGTTTGATTTTTTTTTCTAATGTTGGGTGTGTGTGGGTAAGGTAGGTTTTTACGTTTTTTATTTATTTTATTTTATTTTTGTGGGGATTTAGTAGAGTGATTAATAGGTGGATGATGTTATCCCGTTTGTGATGTTATTGGTGTAGTGTTCGTTCCTTTTTATAGTATTCGTCACTATTGTAACATTGACATTATAACATTGATATTAATTAACATCCAAACGTAACACTAATGTTACACATAAAAAAAATTATTATTGTACTTTTCCCTAACGTAATACTCTAATATAACACTCCAAAAAAACTCCTTAGTGTAACACTCTAAAGTAATACGCAAAAAAATTTCCTAGTGTAACACTCTAATGTAACATACACAAAAATTCCTTAGTGTATTTTTTCCAAATGTAACACTCTAATATAACACACATAAAAAACTCCTTAATGTAACACTCTAGTGTAACACACACAAAAACTCCTTAGCAGGGTTGGCCCTGAGCATGGGCCAACCAGGCCATGGCTTAAGCCCCTCAAAATATACCCAAAAAATGGGCCCTTTCTATTATGGTTTAGTGTAATATATTAGGTATGTTTTAAGTTCAAAAAAAATTAAAAAAGGCTCAAACTAACTTAAAATAAATTGATCTACTAAAAAATTGAAAGGCTCATTCAAAAAAATTAACATTGTTATCCATTGATAATAGACCCAAAAAAAGGGTCCCCTCCTATCATAGTTTATTGTAATATATTAGGTATGTTTTAAATCTAAAAAACAATTAAGGAAGGCCCAAACTAACTTAAAATAAATTCACTCATTAAAAAATTGAAAGGCTCATTTAAAATAATTAGAATTGTTATCCATTGAAAATGATTTTGTAAAAACATTAGATTATTCAAGTATGATTGATTTATTTGCTTCTAAAAATGTAAGAAGAACAAGAATTAAGCGACACTAATTAGTTATTGTAATATAATACTAAGTATTTTTTATAATTTTGACACAAATCTTTTGTCTTTTACCTTCTTTTTTTTTTCATTCAGTGAAAAAAAAAATGAAGGCCCCAAAAATTTATTAGTTGATTATCGGCTTTGGGCCCCGAAAATCCCAAGGCCGGGCCTGCTCCTTAGTGTAACACTCTAACGTAACATACAAAAAACTTCTTGATGTACTTTTTTCAAATGTAACATTCTAATATAATACTCAAAAAAAAATTTCTTATTGTAACACTCTAATGTAATATGCAAAAACTCCTTAGTGTAACATTCTAATGTAACACACAAAAAAACTCCTTAGTGTACTTTTTCCAAACATAACATTTCAATATAACACTCCAAAAAAATTTCTTAGTGTAACACTTTAATGTAACACACAAAAATACTTTTTAGTGTACTTATCCCAAACATAACGATCCAATGTAACACACAACCAAAAAAAAAAAAAAAGTTTTCTTAGTGTACTTTTCCTAAATGTAACACTCTAATGTAACATTAAAAAACAAAAAAAAAAAAAAGATTGTGAGATTCTTCAAACCATTTCAAAATGAGTACAAATATTCCTTAGTAAGTTTTAAACAAATGTATAATTTCAAAATTGAGTATTACGTTTGAAAAAAGTACATTAATGTAATAACCCAACCCTCGTATGTGTTCCCGATATATTTTCAGTCCCTCATTATGTGTATTTATATGCTTATTATGAAATGTCACGTGGAATTAAGTTTAAGTAAGTGAACCTTATGACTATGGATTCATATCTATTGAATAAGGAGACACGTGGGTTCATTTTTGATATTTTTATTGGTATGTTTGGAACCTCCTCATTTTATTTTGGGGTGTTGCTTGAGGTGGTAATATGATCGTAAAGTAAGATTGGACCAAAAACTTTAATTCAAATAGTTAACCAACGATCAGTCGTCATTCATTTGTCCTTTTCTTTTTCCACACTTGGAATTTGAATGTGAGGTTAGAACCATTGGAAAGCTTATTTCCGGGGCTTCGATTTGGACACAAGAACGACCTAGAACGGAGTCCCGATGAGAAAGTTATACCCGTTTGAGGTTTTCACATCTGTGCTGGAAGCAGAGCCGCACGTGCGGGGAATAGCGCCGCACGTGCGGTCTGTGCGGGACAGCAGCTCTAAAAACGGGGTTTTTAGACCATTTCTTGCAATTTCTTTTCCTCTCTTCTTCTCCCCTCTTCCATGTCCGAAACCCTAGCTTCCAAAACCTTAATTTCCTCCACTTTTATCAACAAATCCTTCATGGATCTTGTATCAAAGATGGAGAACAAGAAAGGGTCAACATTTCCAACCGATTGAATTTCGAAATTGAGGTGGAATCTCATCCAAGCTCGCTCCTTTATTTGTTCTTCGAGGTAGGGGTTCTAGATCTCCTCAATACTTACATCTATGGATAGATTTATGGTAACTTCATTATATTAATGCAAAAATCTTCATTTTTATCATCTAGGGCATATTATGAGATTTGGGGATTTAGAGTTTGAGATGTTGGAAGTTAAATTGGTGGGTTAAAATGATGAATTGAGAATCCTAGATGTAGAATCATTGGGAAAATTGGAATTAAAAGTGGTGATTTAAGAAGTGTGAATTTTTGTTAAAAATCCTCATTTTTCTTGAAACCCTAGGTTGATTAATGATGATACCTAATGATTTGGCCCAAATTGAAAGTAGAATAATGAAATTGAGGTATTGAATTATATGTGTTCAAGTTTAATTAGAATTTAGAAATGTTTGAAAATTATGTTTAAAATTTGCGAATGAACTTTGTTATGAATGTTGTAATTCATGCTTTAATGTAAAGGAAAAATTGGGGAAATAATTTATTAAGGATAGGGATGACATGAACTTGGTTGTGGAATGTCGAAATGGGATTCAAGGATTTAGTTTGAATTATGTTGAATTATATTTAATGATGTTGAGTTGAATCATGTTGTTTATGTTGAATTGTGGTGATTATGTGAGATGGTATTGGCTATGTTGATTTTAATTTTTGTGACATAAAATGTGGAGTTTTCCGAAATGGGTTTCATCCCAAATTATTTTGGTAAATACTTGTGGGCTTGCTTAGTTATTAAAATCAAGAGAATGATTTAATGGAGTTTCTTTATGTAGATAGGAAATGTTAGGTTTTTGGGTGAAAACCCTAGACATTCAGGGATTTTTGGAAAAATGTGGAGGATGTCCATACAATTCTTTTCTATCTTGAAATCAAAGTGATTGATTATAAGTTCCATACTATGTTTGCAAGAATGGTAATCTTCTATTTATAGATATATATTGAGATGGAGGAAATTGTAGTATAAATGGATGCTTAATGGTGGGCTTGTGAAGAATAATGAAGGAAAGAAAAAAGAACTAGTGACTAAGTTATATATGTGTACAGGGCACACTTCAGGAGGGACAAGCACTCCGTTGTAGCACTGTGAGTAGTAGTACAAAAAAATGTACATTTTATCTATTGTTGATAATTATTGTCACTAATGCTCTGTTCTTTGTAAGTGTTATACGAACATTTATGACAATTGGAAATCAATGTGAACTTACATGAACGCTGAAAGATTCGCGTACGTCGGTATGATTTTGAAATCCTTGTTCTGTTAATGACGAATATTAACCCTTTGTTATTTATAAGCATACTATGTTATTTCTTAAGGAATAAGTGGAACTTATGTTCATCTTTGAAGAATTAGAATAATTGGAAAGTTATGTGAATCCATACGAATTTGTAGTTATTTTGTTGTGTTACATATGAATTCGAAGTTATTCGGAATCTACGACATGAATGCAAAAGTTTAACATCATTATGTGACCCACATAAGAATATGAATTATTCTATTTTGTTAAGCGCACAATAATGACGTAATATAACAAGAAATGCTCTGTTTTCTGATATGTTATGTTATAACTTAATGAATGATTATTCATATATGCAGAAGTATTCACATCATCTTTAGCACAAGGCCCTTACCCGGGGGTAATAATACCGTGGTTCAAATAATTAAGTTACAAGTTTACGTATGCTATAGCTCAAGAATGTTACAAGTTTGTGAAAGTCACAAGTCCAAGTATGTTATAAGTTCATGTATGTTACAAGTCCAAGTATGTTATAAGCTCATGTATGTTACAAGTATACGCATGTTACAAGTTTAAGTATGGTACAAGTTTATATATGTTACAAGTTCAAGTAGGGTACAAGTTTACGTATGTTACAAGTTTACAAGTTTAAGCCTGTTACAAGTTTACGTATGTTATAAGTTTAAGTCTGTTACAAGTTCACGTATGCTATAAGTTCTAGGATATTACAAGTTTTTAGTACCGAGGAACAAGGATGCTTTATATGGACTTGCTAGCACTATTGAAGAGCCAGGTATCATTAAGTTTGAATTCTAATTTTTGTTCATGAATTAAGCATAATTCATATGTATGAATTTGTTTCTGTTTATGATATAACATGATATGTATGGTTGGTCTGTAAAACCTGTTAATTACTGGTATGGAACAAAGTGCTACTTGGAACTAAGTGCTACATTGTGAGCCACCTCTAGAGTCCATGTGAGCTACCTCTTGAGTCCATACATATATGAATGAGGCTTATAGCCAATCTAGGCCTATGGCCATTCTATATGATCTATGAGGCCAGAGGCCATTATGTATTTTCGGTATGGAGCAAAGTGTTGTACGGAACTAAGTGCTGCAATGCGAGTCACCTCTAGAATCCGTACGAGCCACCTCTTGAGTCCATACGTTTGTGCAAGTTATGAGGCCTATGGCCATTCCGGATAAGTTATTATAATATGAAACAAAGTGCTACACGGAACTAAGTACTACGGAGTGAGTCACCTCTAGAGTCCGTGTGAGACACCTCTTGAATTCATACACACATGTTTCAAGGGCCTCGTGCCACATGTTCAAGGGCTTCATGCCAAACTTTTCAAGGGGTTTATGCCAACTTTCAAGGGCTTCATGCCATATGTACAAGGGCTATATGCCACCATGTTTAAAGTTTAATGCTAATATGTTCAAGGGCTATCGCCACTTTTTTCAAGGGCTTAAAGCCATTATGTTCCAAAATATTATGTTTCAAGTCAATATGTTTCAAGACTGGGCCTTAGGCCATTCAAGAATTAATACAGAATCAATTAACCTTATGCCTCATTATTTATGTATGCATTGATATGTATTATAATTCAAGTTGAGCATTGAATCGTTTATGTACTATTATTCACTGAGCTTTGCTCACTTTATATTATGTATGTTCTGTAGGTAATCACTTTGGGAGTCCGTCTTAACCCTTGAAGCTCACCCTTCAGTTGTCAACCTCAGTATGCCCAGGCTCCCAGACCAAGTCTATGCATTTATGTCAAGTTTTGTTAAAATTTTGGCTTGCACTTTAATTATTTACCTAAGGTTAAAATGTATGTATATGATCCCTTTCTATACCAATGTTTGTTCATGCGGTCATGTATGTATATGGGTATGTCTAAAAATAAATGACTCTCACGAATGTGATCCTGGCATGTTAGGTTTAGCTCAATGGATGCTTTTCTGTGTTATTTTATTATATTAAATGCTTCCGTTCAGGCCCCATATGATATGCATATCAGGTTAAGTGTCCGTTTCTGTATGGGTCATGCCCGAACTTTTAGGGGCGAGTTTGGGGTGTGTCAATTAAGGAATTTTTTTCAGTGTTTTTGTGTGTTACATTGGAGTATGTTGCATTAGAGTGTTACGTTTGAGATTACACTGATTGAAGTGTTACGTTTGGAAAAAGTACACTACTAAATTTTTTTTTTTTACATTAGAGCGTTACGTTTAGGAAAAGTACACCAAAAATTTTTTTTGAGTGTTATGTTGTTACATTTGGAAAAAGTACACTAATAAGTTTTTTAGTGTGTTACATTGAAGTGTTACGTTATTGGAGTATTACATTAGAGTTTAGGTTTTTGTTCATAATGTGTGATTTGTTCTAGAATGAGAGAAAACCCAAAACTTCTATAGTGTAAATTGCTCAAATATGTAACTTTCAATTTTGAGAAAATCACTTTTATCCCTAAAAAATTAAACCCAAACATGTAAGTGACTATCCTTTTATGTAATTTTCATTTTAATAGGATATTTGGGTTTATAAGAAAAAAAGGGAGGACTAAACCATTCACAAGATAACATTTTGGGATTTATTAGTGTTTCACCCTTATTTTTATAAAAATTAAATTTTATATTAAAAGTTATAAATAATTTATTAAAATAAATAATAGTTTTAAAAAAATGAAAAAGGAAAGAAGACATAAAGGACAGAGGGCAAGAGAAATGTGGGAAAGAAACAGGAGAGAGAGAAAGAGAGAGAGAGAGAGAGAGAGTACAGAGATGTGACCGAAAATGGCAAGAACAACCCATGGCTTGTTTTGGGGACGTGGTTTGATGTTGTGTTTAAGTGTTTTATGAAAAAGCCAAATGTGGCCTTTTTGTTCCAAAACCCGTTTAGGAAGCTGGATAAACGCCATATTGCAATTTACGAATATACCCTCCATTGACTTAGGGTTTGCTAAAACAAAACACTTCACTATTTCGCATCTCACGCCTCTTGTACTTCTCTCCTTCTCAGATCATCTTCGAACTATTGCACCGCTGCTATGGACGCCATGGAAAACTCATTTCTAGCGTCCGCCATTGACATCACCACCAACTTCCTTGGTTGATCTACACAATCATGTAAGCCTCTTCCATCCGCCGGTGTTTTACTACCAGTGATTTGCAACTCATTGTTTGGAAACTGTTAAATTGCAAATAGATATTAGTTTTCAGTTGCGTTTATGACATTATAAGTGTTATTTGGCTTTCCGACTACCATCTGCTACTACTTTTGGGGGGAGGGATTTTTAGGGTAAATAGTTGTCCAATTTCCATCTTTCCACCCACTGTGTGCTCTGTTTTTTTTTTTTTTTTTTTTTTTTTTTTTTTTTACTACTTATGCTAGCCTTTTTTGCTATGAAAAAAATTTACTAGAACTTTATTAGGGGTGTTTACTCTTGCGACATATGGAAACCCCTTTCAGATTATCTATTTCTACTTGTGAACAACAAAAACAATGAGTCATTAACTTGTGTACAAGCACGAAATAATTCTTCTCGTATAATTCTGTTGACCAAGTCTGCGCTCCTCCAAACGTCGTCGCTTTACTCCCTGAAAACACAAACGTGAGCTAGCCGGCGGGTGTGTGTCGGATACCTCTCCGATGCCTAAGTCAACAAAATAGACAAATAGTCAAAAGCTCTGTGTATTCGAGAATCAAAGTTGTGTTACCTCTCCATAGGTGATGTTGTGAGTTTTTATAAGTTTCGCGTGGCACAATCCTCGTAGGACTCTTATTCCTCCATGTAGAGTCCTTCTAGGAATCACACTCTTGAAAGATAATGCTTATCCTTCAACACCCCCCTTACTGCTTTAAACCAAGTGAGATGGTTCTACCTCGATAATATGACAAAATGACCAAGCTAACATAGCCATGCTAAAGCGGCAGAAATGACCGAGCTCCAACTAGCTCGGTTCTTTACTTCATTGTTTGTACCTCGGTTTGGTCCGTCGAGATCGAGCTAACCATAGCAAGCTTGGACCGAGCTAAACAAGAGCAAGGTCCTGAGGAAAGCCCAAATCATCTCGGCTCAGAATGGTATGACCGAGCTAATTACACCACACCAACCGTGGTAACCCTAAGTACAATTTGACCGAGCTAACTATAAGGTCCTTTCATTCGGCCCTTTTTACCGCGGCCCATTTACCCAGCTTGGCCCAATTTAGTTATATATTACCCTCTCAATTGCCCCTTAATTCCATCTGCGCAGCATGATTGGGATTACCCATTACCAGCTGAACTAAAAACTTCTGCCTTTCAACTGGGCTAGATTTACACCAGGCTACCAATCAGCCCGGTCAAAACGTCTCTTCAGTCGCTGTGATTGAATCGCTTTCTATTCCATGGACACGTGGCAGGCCCTTATTGGTTAATTACAGCTTCCATAGCCGCCCTCGTACCTCGCGAATTTTGAATAGTCCCGCCCAAATCAAGGTTTTATACAAAAACCCTATTTTTTTCAAATCACAATATCTCTGTTCATCTTCTCTCCCTCTTTCTCTCTGACTCTCCATTTTTGCAACCTCAGTACCTGCGAAGCTCGCATCCTCATCACTATCTTCATGGTTTGAGATCTACATCCTTCTGTCTTCAATCCGTAAGTAACTCAATCCTCTTTTGCTTTCTATTTGTATAGATTAGCAACATGTATCATTTGTATATGTGTTTTTTCACAACACTTTCAAATGGTTTTCTCTGTAATGAGTAAAAACCTTTCGAGCATTAAACACACCCACTAGATTTGCGAATCAAACTGAAATGGGACGTTTTAGATCCAACATTATACCCCGACAGAGATAAGAACTGGTTTTCCATAAGTGCATTTTAGACCGAATTCGTATCCTTGTCCATCAGCCGAGCCTAATCTTAGATCCTTTCTTTATTCCACTCCCGAACTAAAAGCTTCTCCAATGACTAAGCTAATAGGGAGCCAAACCAGCTAACTTAGTCAAAACCGAACTAAGAATGCTGCTCCCTAAGCACCAACCGGGATACGAAGCTCTCACTTTATTGAACCGAGCTAACGTCCTTCGCTCTAACCGAGCTAAGGACGGATAGTATCCCACGTGGCCAAGTTAGGCCTCCATTTATTTTGCCTTGGTTTCTTATAGCACGGTCCAACGATCTGTGCATAATACTTTTCCTTTTCACTTTGCAGACTAACTAGGTTGGCCAAGCACTCCCTCGTATGTCCCACCAAGATACCCAACATCTTCTCAGCACCGAGCTAACACTTCAGTTAATTTATTCACAACTTAAGACCACATGGGTAAATATAGGTTTCTAGTAAACTCACCAGGGGCTATGGCCAAGTTTCGAAGGGACTACCATATCCCTGATGACGTCCATCTCAGTTTAGCTGAGCTGGACACCACACCCTGGGGTAAATCAGGCTTCGTTTCCTTCACCCTTCTTTCTATTGTAGAAACCAGACTCTGATTCCCTGTACAGCCTCTTCTTTGTGAATTCCTCAGACAAACAAATCTCTGCCCTACCCAGCTTTCCACAAACTCCTACCGAATAATAAATGGCATCGTCGAGCTAAACCGCCGGCTTGGCCTCAACCTCGGTTTAGCCGAGATATTTCACCAATACTCTCTAGGCCAAAACGAAGACGACTGGGTTTATTATTTAAGAATAAGGTGCCGCCATGAAAAGATAATAAAGAACACCCCAGATAAGGACGTTAACGACGACGATTTTTTCTGGATTTTTGGGAATTTTGAAGACCATGAGGCCCAGATCCCAGGCGACCGAATTAACTGGAACAAAGGAGTCGCCGGTATAATTACCTCGGCTTAATTTTGTGCTTTCTTTACCGTTGATTTCATTTTCAACCGGCCTAACCGTTATCTTTTTCCTTTATGCAGATTTGAACTTTCTCAAGTCCCAGTACAGCTACCCCCACATTGACGCCCTTCGCACCGCACTACGATATCCCAATCGTAGCTGGGCCGAGCTACTCAACTTCGAGCCGACCTACAGATACAGCAGCAGGAGGAAGACCAGGGTGACAGACTTCCTCTTGATGCCCTCTCCTGAACCTGATCCTAATCCAACCTTGCCTGAAATTAACCTGATCCCACTAACCACTGAACAAGAAATGGCAAAGAAGAGAGCGGTAAGGGCCCTCATTACCGAGACAAACCAACCCGAGGCACCACAAGCCGGTCAAACACAGCCGGCCGTGGTAGCCTTCCAACCGCTCAACCCTCTTCATCTCGGCCAAGAAAGCGCACTCGGGCTTCCACAACCGAGCTGCACCACGTCGATAAAGAAGACACCATTCTCCCCTAAACCACACAACCGAGCCCAGAGCCCGTGGGCTTTGACCGAACTAGCTGTAGACACCCCATTTTTGACCGTCCTCAAGACTTGGGCGTCACCGTTTGAACACTTGGTGATCATCCATGTTCGTGTTCGTCTTGAGTTCTCGGAGGTCTCGGCCACGCGCCTTGCCTCAGGATTGCTCAACTCGACTATTTTGTGCTTGGTTTTGCACCAAATGCTTGTGTTTTTGCTTTGGAGGGTAGAGAGTGGCTTGTGGGCCACCCCCACACCTCACTGGCCATGGCTTAAGGCCACCAGCCATTGTTTTGTTGCCATCGACCATATGTTTAGTCGGTCGGCACTCTTTGTGGTCGGTCGACCATGTATTTTGCCATTTTGTCATTTTTGGCTGACCGACCACTGTGCATCTACTTTTGCAGATATTTTTATGCTAGCTGTGCTAGCTGGCATACACCTTACACCCCATCCA